GGGCCGCAAATGTGAATTGAAATAAATCTGAATATTTTATCTTATTCATCTGCCAAATTTGCTCTGTATTATAGATCAACATGTGCGATCAGAATTCCTAACATTAATTCACACACACACACATATACATATATATCTATATATATATATATACGTTTATCGTATATATGTTACGGTGAAACACCGAAATCTGGAGAATGTCGACTTTCACCGGTGAATGTCAACATTCACATAGTCGCTTGTTGTATGTCCGAAATATTTTCAAATACTCTTATTTCTGACTTACACCGGTAAATGTCGACATTCACCATCTACTAATGGTATATATATATATATATATATATATCATATAATCGTTTATTGCAATGCATTGTCGGAAACGCTTTCCTGGCGCCATAGTGACGAGAGACAACACAAGAAAAATAGGGTACGAACAGTGTAAAGATATTTGTTTGTTATTCTTAGCGCGGCGGAAACTAAGAAATAAGAACAAAAACATTGGATCGTCATCAAAAAAAGTATTCGAAAGTTCCTTCGGGAAGTATCCTAGACATGGGTTTGGTAGGGGTAGTCCAGTGCATTGTTCAGCAAGATCACGAGCCCTCACTTGCATTATCACTTCCTCTAGGGTACGTCAAAACATTAGTGCACGAAACCCCCGTTAGAACTCCAACAGGAACTTGTGGCACATATCGTGTCAGCTGCTGGGAAAGTCCTGGGGGTGCACGGTATTTTCCAGAACATCTTATGTTCGATGTGCGAGAGATGTGATACCTGCATCAGGGTTCAGGTCGTAATTTCGAAGAATTTCATTGAGGTCCATAAGTGTCTAATTTTGTTCCTATTTTTTAATTTCTCTTGTGCTAAGCATAACTGTCCGTTCTTTCTTGTGTTCCGTGTTGTTTGTACCGACCAGGAAAGTGTTTTCGGTCATGTTTTGCCATTTCATTTTTCGTCGTCGTCGTCGTCTCTCTCATATATGTGCATAATTACCTATGACTCAAGTGTTACTACTATATCATGAAATTTACAAACATAGTGTTTAAAATGCTACATATCCCCATCCGAAAATATCTTTTTTTTTTCTCTTGCCCTTCAAATAAGAAATGTGTGTCCTTCATTGTATAACCTCCTGGAACTTTAATTCTTCTTTTTTCGAGGACTATGGAGAAAATATTTCAGTATAGGCAGCTGTCAATATTCTAACATTACATTTTAAAAGCCATTAAAGTGTAGCCGAAACGCTCAGAAAGGCTTAATTCGCTTAGGATTTAGGAAATACATTTTGTAAGACTTCGCAAATTTTCCTTCAATAAATTTAATGGAACAGACAAAAGAAATTACAGGGAACAATAAATATAGGAGAAAACAGATATATCTTTTCGTAATTTATTTTGCTTTGTTTGATTTCTTTCATTCTTCCTGTATAAATAATTAAAACTTTAAGAATGCAACTGAAGAATGAGAATAAAATTTTCAATTGAAAACGAATGGTGGCAAAAATCCTAGTGCTCCTCTGCTGTACCACGAAATAGACCAGCAATATATTCCGAATTTGGAATAACGAGAAAAAATTTGAAACCTTTGCAGCCAGCGATGCAAAGAGATTGATCTGACAGGAAGATGACTTAAATGAGGAAACTCAGTGATAATTTAATGAGGTGTCAGGTTACCTCTACTGGGATAATAATAAGAAAAGGTTAAAATACAAAATACGTAAGTAAATTGTACAAAAATTGAAGAAATTTAATATATCTGGCATGCGTAAGAAATAGTAATTGATTCAAAAATGTAAATGAATCCAAAGCTTTCAAACTTATACTCGTTTAAATACAGATTTTGCTGATTCAGAAAGTACGTTACTTGTATATCTTCTAAAATGCTTTTTCCATCCTTTGTTTGTAGTTGTTTCATTTTTCATTTCAGTTTCATTTTTTCCTCCTATTTTGCAATTTTCGCCATTCTTTCCCTCTGCTTTTAAGCCACCTGTTTATTAGTACTATTATTTATATTACAACTTATGTAAAAATTAAGTAAGGAAAAGTAAGGCACTAAAACTTTGCAACTTATTACGCTCTACGTGAGATTCATGGTGGTCGCTTATTGCATACAAATCATGCCAAATGCTTTAACTCTTTTCGCATCGAGGGACGACCAAATCTGTTTTCAATAAACATCGAAAACGCCCGTGTTTACGAATTTGTTTTGGAATAGTTTTCCTTTCCCCCTCCGGTTTCATCCATTGTGTGCAGTTTCACCTTACGGCCGGTTTGCACCTGCGAACGTCAATAGCTTTACGTTTTTCTCCTTTATTTGCTTCAAAAGAATGATTGACATGTCTTTTAACAACTCGCGAAACCAATGAGCCATACATACTAACGTGGAGGGGAAAGAACTAGGTAGAAAATAAACGAGGCGTTGCGGCGGTTTGCTGTTGCCTGAATGGACGGGCGTTTCGGGCGACTTCGATGCGAGAGAGTCAATTTCTCTGCTTGGCTTTAGGTCCTAACAGTGAAAACTGAAAATTCGCCCTTTGTAGAAAAACATTCTGTCAGGCAATGAATCTACGGTTAGATTTTTCCCTATGAAACTGAGCCAAAAGTGTTATATAGTATCTAAATATGGAAGTGTTGTACATGTTAAACGTGATCTTCGTTGCATTACTTTCACTCTTTTACTACTGAAATAAAGAGATACTGATTATTTTGTAGATTGAATAATCCTCCTTGTGATCATGAAAAGGAGCAAAAACTGGAAAACGAGAAAGAACTAGAAAAGAAGCGAGAACAGGAAAAGATGCAAGAGCTGAAAAAGAATCAAGAGCTGAATAAAAAGGAAGAACAGGAAAAGAAGGAGAAACTGGAAAAGAAGCAAGAACTGAAAAACAAGAAAAAACTGGAATTGACACAAAAACGAGAAAAGAAGCAAGAACTGAAAAAGAAGCAAAAGCTGGAAAAGATACAAAAACGAGAAAAGAAGCAAGAACCGGAAAAGATACAAGAATTGGAAAACATACAAGAATTGGAAAATAAGCAAGAACTGAATAAGAAGCAAGAGCAGGAAAAGAAGCAAAAACTTGAAAAGAAGCAAGAACTGAAAATGAAACAAGAGCAGAAAAAGAAGCAAAAACTGGAAAAGAAGGAAGAACTGAAAAACAAACAAAAACTGGAAAAGCAACAGAAACTAGAAAAGAAGCAAGAACTGAAAAAGAAGCAAACTCTGGAATGGATTCAAAAACTAGAAAAGAAAGAAGAACTAAAAATTCAGAAACAACTGGAAGAGATACAAAAACAAGTAAACAAAGAAGAACTGAAAAGGCAGAAGAAACTGGAAAAAATGCAAAAACTAAAAAACAAAGAAGAACTGAAAAAGAAGAAGAAACTGGAAAAAATGCAAAAAATAAAAGACAAAGAAGAACTGAAAAAGAAGAAGAAACTGGAAAAAATGCAAATACAGGAAACGAAGCAAGAGCCGGAAAAGATGCCAGAACTGGAAAATATAGACGAGTCAGAAAAGACGCAATACCTGGAAAAGAAGCAAAAAACGGAAAAGAATACAAATCTGAAAAACAAGCTGGAACCGGAAAAGAACTGTCAAACCCGAAAAGGAAACCGGATGAACTGCGAAAAGAGCCAGAACTGGATAACGACTGTAGAACGATTGATTTAATGACCAAACGAAGCAAGAACCGGAAAAGAAAAATAGAACAAATAAATCATATACCACTGCAAATAATAGCACTGCAAACATTAAATATCAACGTCAAAAAAGTAAACACCCTTCTTCAAGGGGGCCTTGCAATACACTGTCATAATCCAGAAGATATAGAAAAAAATCAGTTATAACCTCATTGCCAAAACAGTTGCAAAAGATATAGTTAACATAAAATTTCCTGAAGCCAGAATACCAAAATGCACAATTCATAATATTCCAAAAAATTTCAACTCTGATGAACTGATTCAAATTATCGCCCAAGAAACATAATATTTCCGAGCTAAGACCTTTATTTAAACTGAATGATCAAAATAATAAATGGATCATAAAATGTCACGGTAAAACTTTCCAAAATTTTATGAGTAAAAAACAAATATATATTGGATGGCGCACCAATAAAATAACCGAGTTTACCGGTGTACGCAGATGTCAAATCTGCCAGGATTTCTCCCATAAGACAAACAAACCAAAATGCTCATTCTTCATCGGAAATTATCATGTTTCTTGCGTTCTTCCCAAAATCCGTACTGCATAAACTGCTGGATTAACAATGAAAAGTATGAAGCAAACTTTGAGTGTAAACATCCAGCTTTAGCTATTTCCTGGTCCACATATCAAACAGAAGTTAGACGAGTAAAATCCAATACATATTATCAACAATAATACAAGATCCTTCAGACTATATATAGACCATTTCCATCAATAAAAAGAATAATAATGTCATCCGCTTTCTCAAAATAAATCTTCAAAGAGAGAAGACCGCCACCGACCAACTAAGTCAGTATCAAGTAGATTATCTGGCAGATTTTATTATAACACAAGAATCTTATTGCATCCCTGGCAAAGTAGGAAGAATTCCAAATAACTGGACAATTATTCAACGTCATGCTTCAACCGGTGTTTTATCTCCTCGTACAGCCATATTCATTCCAAACAATAAATGGAATTCTACAATAAGGATTAATACTCGAGATATAATCACAATTTCAATCAATACTAATGCATCTCAGCTTCTTATTACTAGTATCTATATATCTCCGTCAAAAATCCAAATCAAACCTTATCCATACTAAATGAAATCTTACAACAATAATAATAGTCCGCATGTTATTAGTGGAGACTTTAACTCCCATAGTACTTAATGGGGATACTTACAAACCGATCACAGAGGAGAAATACTTGAAGAATTTTTAAATGCAAACAATCTCATTCTACATAATCATTTTACTGAGCGATCTACCTCTGATAATACCTACAATAAAGATTGGACTGATCTTCTTATTTCTACAACACATCTTGATAATAAAATTAACAACAGATCAATACTAGATGAACACTGAATCTGATAACAAATATATCTCTTTTGATATAACTGAATATACGTCCTTTACTGCACTTACAAGATATAAAATCAATAATAACAAAGAAAAGAAATTTCAACAAAAGTTCAATTCAATTTCAAATGACTTTCTAAATTCTATTATTCTGTGTACAACAAAAACAGAACTTAATAATATTACCAAGGAACTTATCAGAAAGTTTCAAGATACCTAAGAACGTACCTTCTTCAAAAGATCATCAATTCCCATTATAAAAATCAACTGGTGACGAAAGAACTCCGCAAAGAAACACACAAAACACGAGCATTACGAAGAAAACTCAAATCATCGCAAACTGATGAAGAACGACTCAACCTACTTCAAAAATACAAAAAACGAAAAGCCTCATATAAAAAGCAAATAATATCTGAAAAACGTTAAGCATGGTGCAACTATTGTTCAAACAACCAGGATACGTATGGCTCATTGTACAAAATTGAAACCAACAAAATCTTCCACCCAACGCAACTTACAGTCACTAATACGGGAAATAATGATAAAAATGTTACGAAGATCACTTTAGAAAACATCCTAGATGTTATTCTACCAAACGAAAGCATATATGATGATTCAACTGAACAAAGATTAATTCGTTTTAATCTACTTCCACGAAAATGATATCCCATTTACATCCATGAAACTCAATCGAATTATTGAAAAACTCAATAACAAAAATGCTCCTGGACCAGATAGAATCTGCATTCAAATTATACATAAAAGCTCTTGGAGAAATTCTTGAACGTTGTATTATAGGAAGACTTGAATACCAATTTCAACATCAAAATTTCATCAAGGAAAATCAGTATGGATTTAGGCAGCAAAAATCTACCATTCATGCAACCAGTGCAGTCCTAAATCAAATCGATGTTAATAAAATCAATAACCTACACTCCGCAATAATCAGCTTAGATCTTGAATCAGCCTTTGATTCATTATGGCGGCCTTCAATTAAAGAAGCACTTAGAAATATTGAATGTAATTATAATATCTATCAAATAATCAATAATTTCCTTGATAATCGCCATAATCTCATTTTATATAATAATACTTTAATCAGAAGAAAACAAGTTCGTGGATGTTCACAAGGCGCATCCTTTTCCTAAAATTACTGCTTTCGCCGATGATGTCGCATTTGTTATCAGTGGAAGGTCCTACTTAATCCTTCGAAGAAATTGTCAAGAAATAATAGCCATATTCCAGCAAAAATGCAAGAAAATTAAACCTGAAATTTAATCCTTCAAATCTAGAATCATGACAAATAATAAACCTGGATAAAATCTTACTAAGCAACTTTCTGTTAAAATAAATGACGAAAAAAATCAAGCATACTAAATCAATCAAATACCTAGGAAATTATAATACATGAAAACAACATCTTATCGAATATATCTCAAAGAACTTAAAATTCGCACACATTCTATAAGTCAAAATCTTCGACATGTGCATGGCACAAACTGGGGTTTAAATCGCCATATCACCAAATTACTATATCGTACAGTAATAACCAAAATGATTACCTACGGCTCTGCCATCTGGGCATTCCCTATAACCACAAGAAAAAAAAAATTCTTACCTCAACACAACGACAATTTAATCTTAATATTTCCAGAGGCTTTCGAAATACCTCCAGTACTACTCTTAATATCTTAGCTGGAACTATTTCACTCCATGTCGAATCCATTCAGGAAGCAATTGATTCTACAATATATGAACTTCGCCATAATATTACTTATAACAAAACCATATACATCACAGAGGATTACGAAATGTGCCCTGCTCCTTACAATAGACATCTCCTGCTGTATCACACACAAAAATAAAAACAGCAATAAACACTAAAACTAAAAAAAATTCAATTGAAGTATTTAATTATAGAATCAAATATTAATACTGACCGTCAATCTGCCATCTATGCTATCTCTAACACAGAAAATCAGACTTCTATTGTTTATGACATCAATAACCTCTCTAAAACAACAGATAATTTAAAAATTCATATATCATGGATAAGAGGCCATAGTAGAAATGCCGGTAACTTAACATTTGACAAAACTTGCAAAGAAGCTGTTCCTAATCAAGAAAGCAATTTTCTATATACGAAATTTCCCAAATCTTATCTTCGACTGCCCATAAAAGAACAAATTACCCAAATATGCCAAGAACAATGGAAGAACGCATCTACAGGTCGATGAAATTACTAGTTCTACCCCTATTGCAATACTGACGCCAAGAGTACATAATCCTTTTTAACATGTAATATTACTGGCCATGGGCCATATCGTGTTTATTTTCATCAAAGAAACTTAATAGACACTGACTTCTGTATATGCTGCTAGAAAGGTTACAGTGATCACTATCTTTTCTCATCTCCTCTCAAGAAAACGTTTCATATTCGCGCACCCAGAAATATTGATATATAATTCAAAAGAACGATCAGCAAACTTCAACATCTTCATTCTAATATGAAACAAATTCACCAAAACGTAACACAATTGGATTAAATCTATGCAGAGTAACCCCATCTACAACAGACGAAATATAACAAAATATTTAATTTTCACCTTTGCAGAATTTTAAGATAATTATCGATCTTTGTCACAAATACTTATTTGTACTGATCGTAATAAAAAACGCCTTGCAAAATCCATAATAAACAGAATGAAATATAAAATTTGAGTCGTCAGAGTAAACTAGAACAGAAAAGGTGAGTCATGATACTGATTTGCTGTGTCATGACAAAAATGAGCTATGAATATTGTATGAGTCATGTAAAATATATGAACTTAAACGAGAAACTTTTTATGATCTCTGTAATCATGAACACTTTAGTCACTTATGAACTCTGCCTAATGAATACTGAAAACTATTTGTGATCATGAACTCTAAAATACAATTTTATTCTCTTCTACATGTTATACTTCTATTTTATTAATTTTATTATATGATATATCATATATTATCCTATACTTTAGCACTTTATTCAAAATTATAATTTTATTATATGATACATTATGTACTATTCTATACTTTATGTATTAAGCTATATTTTATTTCCCATATTTTAAGTATTATTCAGTATTTGTCATGATATATTCTGTTTTAGCATTTTATTCCAAATTTGGAAAATTCAAAATTTTGTTATAATGGCACATTATGTGTTATTGTATACTTGATGTATTATTCTACATATATTTTTCTTCTATTTTAAGAATTATTCCAAATTTGCCATATGATATCTCTACATATAATAAAAGAAAGAGTCTGTCTGTGTGTTGTGTGTGTTTCTTTCGTTCGCGCTGCGCGTAAGCTAATAGACACAGGGCTACAAAATTTGCTACATGAGGTGTATCTAGACAAGGGCCAGTGCACCTCCAAGCGATTTTTCGAAATTCGAATTCGAATTTTTTTTATTTTATGTTTTGTGACGAAACCGCGTCATTTTGAGACATAATGGGCTATAGGAAACCGAGATTTTACTCTACACACTCCATTTTCAAATCGTCATGAAACGTAAGCACTTAGATATTTTACGAACTTAAAATAAATTTCTTGTTTCAATAAATCGATTAAATACGAATTTATTTAACAAATGGAGCTTAACACATTTTCAACGGGATATTTTCTAAAAAAGTTTATTTTTAAAAATGTACAGTTTATTTTTCTTTGATTTTTGGACACGTTAAACATTCATCCTTCCTACTGCTTTTAAAAAAAAATTTTGGAAAACTGATAATATTTTGTACTTTTAAAAATATGTTTAAATGAAGCTTCCGAGTACACTTCGCACATCTCACATCTTTAAAAATGTGATTTTGGCAACAATTTTCCTGTCTTATTGTTGTTGATATATTTTTGATGAAATCGCATCATTTTGAATAGTTTCATTCTTTTAGAAATAAGGGTTTGGCAACAATTTTTCATCGTATTTCTTATGTCACTGTTTTTAAGAAATCGGCATATTTCATTGTCATGTATATATATATAATACATTTTTATTGATTTTTTTGATAAAGTTGTTCTGTAGAGCAAAATTCTGCGCGGAATTCTGTTTGTAAAATACTGAAAAGTTTTGCATATTTTTTTTTTCTTCAACGGAAAGTTGGTTAATTTTTTATTATGATAATAATTATTTGCATTAAGGGTGTAGGGTTTATGTTTTTTTTAAGTTTAAACTACCTTTCCTGTCAAGCCTTACTTTCCCCTGGAATTGCCAATGCCAGAGTATGTAAATTTTAGTAGAACGCGCAAAGGATTCAAATTGTCAGCGGAAGTAATCTGAGTTAAATAGAAGGGAAACGAGTTCGAAGGTGTGCTTTCTTGCTTCACGAGCGTGGAGGTGGCTAGTTAGAAATTGAAGAACGACGCGTTTCGGCCTGTGTGCTTGCCTCGCCAGATTGTTAATTTTTCAACGTAGTATTCAAAAGTTTGCTGAATTATCAGCGGTATCTTAGAACGCGGTGAGGTTAGTTACGTTTAGAGAGCCTCGTAGTTAGTCACTTGTTATTATTCTTATTTTAGTTTCTTATTTTTATTTTACCGCCGGGTCGGCGTAGTTTGTGAGCGTCAAGAGCACGCATTTGTAATTTCTAAAGTTGAATAAAAAGGGATTTAAACCCTTTTCAAGACTTTGTCTACTTTCCAGTTCTTAGCAGTCACCACTATTGTTGCGTGCAGGTTGGAAGCGCGCAACATAACATTAGGGCCTTAACACTTGTCGAACTGAAATGGACGAAAATTGGATGGAAGTTGCTGGAGAACAACAAGAAATGGCAAGCCAATTGGAAGGATTTGGATACCTGGTCCAGACGATGACAGCGTCAATCAAGCCAAACGTCAATTTCGAAGGAAAAAATTCGGTGGCGATATTTCTAGAATGCCTCGACAATCACTTCCAGCTCTACCCTGTGCCTGAAAGACAAAAAGTTGCCATCTCCACATCTGCACTAAGAGGACAGGCCGCGCTATGGTGGAAGAATATAGGCAAATTTTTATTAGGGGAATTCGGAGGCCAGATTCAAAAATAAAAGCAATCAAGAATTTCCCACCTCCCAACACCGCCAAGAAAATTTCTTCTTTCCTTGGGTTATGTTCTTATTATCGGCCATTCATAAAAGAT